GTTTACAATGATTCAACCAATAAAAAAGAATGGAGATAGAAATTAATACTCGTCAAAATTAATGATAATGGTTTCTTTATGTTAATTGTAAAAAGTAAAATAGTTTTCCATGTTATTTGATTTGGACAAGAGCAGCAATGTGCATATAATTAAGAATATAGGTCATCCGGTGAGAGACGTTTATTGCTTACTCACAGAGAAAAAAGAAAGATAAAAGATACGTGAAGGAAACGGAGGAAAAAAAAGACGGTGACAAATATAGAAGAGGTTTAGAGAAAGGGGAAAAGTATGAGAAATCAAGAGAGTGAGGAGAGAATAGAAAGAGAAAAAGAGAGTGAGATTGAAAAAGAGAGGAGGGGAGATCGGGAAAAACAAGAGAAGAAGTAGAAGAGAGAGAATGGATGAAATATAGAGAGGATGGAAAAGAGTCAGTAGGGAAGAGGGGAGAAAAGAGAGATAGAAATGGAAACTTTGTGAGATGTAAGCATAAAGACTAAAAAAAAAAAAATAATAATTTAGAATGCATCGCTAACAAATTATCAAAGATACATTTTTTGTAGCGATTATCGCCCAGTCTTTGTTGTCTGAAGATTTTTGTAATATTGATCAAGCCATCAAAATGAATACATTTTTGCAAATGCCGATTTTACAAGAACAAAGAAATTAAACACGAAAAAGACTTAAGATAAAATCAATATGAATTCTTTTTAAAACAAATAAAAATAAAAAGAGAATAATTCTTAACACATCGCCAATAAAATTATCAAAGAGTAATTTTGTAATAAGTCTTTTTGTCTGCATTTATCACCTCACTTTTGTTATATCTTTGTAATAATTAATCCTGAATTAAAAAAAATACCTTTTGACATTACTGATTTTATAAGCATACAAAAGCCTGCAATTAATGAATCTATTTCAGAGAATATAACAAGTAAAACTGTATATTATCTTGACATTCAAACGGGTCATTCTAGCCAGGTCAGGAGATTATATCTGATATGAGTTGGAAGAAGAAAAGAAGATCTGTGAAACAGAAGAAATAGCCATAGTAAATAAAGAAAAGAATATCTGTCGGTTAGCCAGTTAATCACGAAAAACAAGGAAAATAAGATTAATGAAACAGATCTGGTTATAATAAAGAGAATAATGCAGATCTGCCAGATGGGCGATTACGTCATAGTAATAAAAAAGAAATGTCAGACAGAATATCCGAGTTCGAATTCCAGCCGAATCCATTATAATTACTTGCAATTTATATATACTTGCAATATAATTTACGTGCAAATAACCTTGGGAAAGGTATGAATCTTCTTCTCCACTCAGCAATGGGTAAATAAAAGGACAGACCGAGTTCTATAGCATTGGATGGCAACTGGTCTACCGCAGAAAGAAATGGCAACCTACTACGGGGAAAAATCTCCCTCGTCAGTCATGTATCGAAAGATACATGATCGCCTAAGTGTGTATCACACATGGCATATAACTGACTGAAGCACTGAAAATAAGATCGATCAAAGGAAGATGTACTCAGAGTAAAGAAAGTAAACAAGAACGAAAGCAGAAGACCTAATGATTAGGATAGAAGATTTCTCAAAATTGACTTGTGGTCATGTCAACAAAGAAAATAAGATCTGTCAGTTAAGATCTAGTCATATTAAACAGAAAAAATAAGATCCCTTAGGTAGTCAGATAGTCATGATAAACAAAGTGAAGAAGATCTGTCAAAAAGAAGATCCAGTTATACTAAACCAAGAAAGAAAGATCTGTTAAGAATGAGGATCGAGTCAGGGTAAATAAAGAAAAGATGTGTTAGAGATGTAATCTAGTTTGACTTTAGCTTAATATTCAGTAAATACTAAACATTGACATGAAAATGCAGAGTTGCTGCTAGCTACTAAATCTCATGCCATGAAGGTGTTGAACCCAAGGGAGCCGCCTTGTCCCTCCAGCTCTCACGGTCTTGTCAGACCGTCAGAACATCATACAGCGCCAGATTAATCTTTTGGACAACTTAGGGGACGACGTCCTACCAGCGGTTGCGTGCTCTGTTGCGAGGTCGTCGCCAATTTGTAGTCGGCGTGTTGAACTGGTAGATCACTCAGTTGGCGTGTTGAACTGGTAGATCACTCAGGTGGCGTAGTTAACATGTCGTCGTAGGACGTTACCGAGTCAGGGAACACGGCGCTGAGCATTGGTGCGAAGGATGTTCGTCCGGCGAAACTCCTAATTGGACACAGGATCGGATGCAGAGCAAGATTACATGTTTTACATCATATAAGTACAACGCAACCTCAAACCATATGAAATAATTTAATTTTTGGCGGCAAGGGTAAATTATTTTAAATAGAGACTTCTGATTCAAATGTTAAAAGAGATTCTTGTTTACAATCATTATCGTTCTTTAAAAAAAGAAAACACATTAAAATTAATGAAAAAGATGAATTCAATGTTTTCTAATTATCTATGACTCAAATATAATTTTAATGCTAAATCTGTGATCGACAAAAATAATCTGTCGAAAATAACATTTAAGATTTTGCTTAATTCGATAAAAAATATGTTTGGTTGATATTCAAATGCAAACAGAGAATCCCGATTTCATTTGCCTGCCGGCAACGTTAGATCAAATGTAATGTTAGATATTATTATTCTAAAATACATACTAGGTAGGAGATCACCTTTCTTTTTATTGTCAACCCCCCTCCGTATAATGATTGCCACAAATGAATGCAGATATCCAGAAAAAGTTCGACCTTGCGGAGAAATCTCTGTCAAGTCAAACCTAATAATCGGAGATCATGATCAAGAATGGGGTGTATTACATTTCCTGCCACTGAAGCTATCCACCCACTGAAGGTAAGACTGGAAGAACATAGAAAGCCGTAATTAGGGATCAGATAATGAAATTATATATGGCTTATCATATATGGAGGCAAAAGTCTGGTCACCAGTCATATGAAATGAAGTAAAAGTATTAGATGAACACTGGAGAGTCAGACGTATGAAAAAAGTTAGTGCATATGCTAGGCTATGAAGGTCTTCTCAGTAGGAATTTCATAGAAATAAATATAAATCATTAATGAATAAATAGTATTGTCAGCATAGTTTCAACAACAGCGAGACTGAAATGAATGACGTTAAACCTGAACGAGCAGCAGCAGACAAGAAAGAAGAACATTTGGTTTAAGACTCTAACTTGTAGGTTCATGACTCTCTCAACAGTCTTGTAAATTAGAGCGTTGATTCGGAAATTTGGACATATATTGGGTTGGTGCATAAATATCAGGCGTTTTTAAACAATATTTATTATGGTAAAAGGAACATAACAATTCAACGATAACATTTTTAAATGAATATGATTATCGACACGCATTTTAATAACTTGAAAATAAAATAATATTTTTATTAAAAAAATTAAAGAAAACAGCAATTTTCATAAGCAAATAACTCGCCTACAAAAACGCCTGATAATTATGCACCAACCGAATAACAATTATGAGTTCAATCTCTGAGCCGCGTAATATCGACTTAGGCTCAGAGGAAACAATGCGAGCAATAAATGAACCGTACTAAATTAGAACAAGAAATAAACATCGTAACGGAAACAATTTATCCTTGTAAGTTAAATAAAGAGATGTGGTTGAAATTCCCATGAAGATTACCCGGGTCGACAGACACATAAAGAAAGTCACTGCGATGATAACAACGAATATGAGGACATTAATCCGATTGTAAATAATGATAACTCCTAACCCCATAAATTCAGACAGAAACTGTTGACCTTTTGTTCAAGTTCATCTACTATTCAAATTGAATCGGACCTATGATTGTTATAGGTTAAAGTGTTGGTCTCTTCTGGTATTTTTACGTCTGATCTCCGAGTTAAGGTAATTACAAGCGTGGAGCTGCGGGCTGGATGACATTGACAACCATTCAATAATTACGCAAGACGCAATTGTAACATAAAATATTACATGTAAAAATAACCAGATAATGCGAACATGCTTATACAATCCTAAGCAAAGATAATGTTTCAATAAAGACATACTTCTTAATGTTAGACGTGACTGGTCAAATTAAATGCCAAGAATAATCGATAAATTCATTAATCTATTTATTCAGAACAGTGTCAATCACTTAGTTTGTACTTATTTTCGTGTTGAATGATAGCAAAGTATACCAAACACGGAAAGAAAACCACGAGAACTTCGGTAGAAGTCAGTGGATGAAAGTGAGAAGAAAGGACTAAACAATAAGATGGACAGCATGGTTATTAGCAAAAGGGAACAGCCCAACATGAAAATTAAAAATTGGAGATATCAAGATCAAACAAGGGCGAAAATTTAAATATCTGAAAATGTTATAACAGAGGGCAGAATGTGTGACATTGAAATCCGAAGACGCATTGAGATAGCGAAAGCTGCTTTCTACAAGCTAAGGAAAGTATTAAAAGCCACAAAAATTACTTTAGAAACAAAGAAAAGAGTACTGAACGGTTATATAATATCAGTCCTATATGGTAGTGAATGCTGAACAATCTCACAGATAAAGAAGAGATTTGAAGCAACAGAAATGTTGTTCTACAGAAGGATGATGAGGATAACATGGACCGAATATATGCGCAACGACGAACACTTAGAGAAAATTACAACAAACGGGAAATATTTAAAAACAGGAATAGACAGTTGAAATTTCAAGGGCACATAGTAAGGAAAGAGGGCTAAGTAAATTTGATACTCACATGACATATTAAAGGCCAGAGAGGCAGAAGAAAACAACTCATAATCTACCTAGCAAGCTTGAGTAAACAAGCTTTATGAGAAACAACAAAAATACAATATTTATTAAGAATTACAAAGGACAGGAAAAGGTGGAGAGCCATGATCGTCAACATTCTGAAGGGATAGGAGACAAAAGAAGAAAAAAACCGTTTTTGGCTTTGAATATGGTTGCTTTCTATGCATTGACTTAATTTTGGTTCAAGACGACAAGTGGTCGTCTTACGGCCATATCAAGTTGAAACACCGGCTCTCATCCGGTCACCGAGCTTAAGCAACGTTGAACCTGGTCAGTACTAAGATGGGTGACCACTTGGGAATACGAGGTACTGTAAGCTTAGATATGCAGGTGGTGTAATGGCTAAAGGCTCCGAATTGGAACTTTGTTCCCTGATTTCCTATTCCAGTTGTGTTCCTTATATTCACTCACGCTCAAATATCATTGGCAAAGACATGATTCCATCTCTTCATCCTAGCTATCAGTAAACCGTTATTATCTCTAAAGAAATTGTCAAATATTTTCTAGCTTTAAATAACCAGCAAAAGGCTGATAAGCCGTAAAAAAACAAGTCAATCGAGCAAATCACAAGTGAGGATTGAAAACACTTCTCATTGCTATCAATCTCAAAGGAGCACAAAAACTGAGCGTGTGAGTAGAATTTATATTCACATGAGGTGCATTTCGAAATCAGAGTTAGCCTTGTTGCAAAACCAATAGGATATATTTTTGCATAGGTTCAAAAGTAATCGAAGAAAATCTGAAATACTTAGCTTTTTTGGATTGTTGAGAGAAAAAAAATTGAAGTACTGATTAGAGGCCAATAATATAATTGGCGAGTAACTTTACACTGACGAGTACTTCAACGCTGGTTGCGATGCATTGAAACGAAACCTTTTACATGACTTTAGGCACTCTTATCTCATTAATTTATTTTTTCTCCTCATTTTATATAGAAATAATTTTGCGTAGGCTCTCTACTTTTTCTCCCCCTCCTTCTTCTCCTTCTTCTCCTTCTTGGCTAATTTCTGTAGAGGTATAGTTTTCATTGATCCCAAAACCATTTCACTTAGGATCGCGAATTCATTCTTTCTTCTTCGTCAGTTCCTCCAAATTTAAACGGAGTGGGTGAGGTTTTTTCACACTCATTAAGATTTACATCTTTTATAATTTTCTAAAATCATTTGAATTTAGCTTGCTAATCCCAACTGCGAGTCGACACTGCCATTGAATATAGTGCGTATATGATTAAATCTCACAGAGGAAAAGTTGTTAGATTACAGTTGCAATTTCAATGTTCTCTAGCTACACAAAATTGTGAACTTTAATAAGCTTTTGTGAAATGCTGCGCTATTGAGATAGTAACATATTTCCATTGATTTCAGTTGTCACTATTCAATCCAAGGTGGGAACACGGATTTTGTATACTGATTTTCAAGGTACGCAGACAAACAGACACAATTTTCTGATGTGAGTGAACGGGACAAATAAACCTTTTCACTTACATCTATTTCGTGCTGTACGAAGCTGAAATTAGAAATGTGGCAAGTGCCTAGGGCCCATTTCATTTCCACACGTATCTGCTACTGTCAGTGGCAATGTTTTTTCTATACAGAGAGAAACTATATATACGGAAATTGGCTTATTTGCGAATTTCTCACTGGTGTCATAAGTCAGTGTTTGAGCAGAGCTAAAAGCCAGTATTTAGAATAATGATTTCTTAAGACAAAAATGTATTTCCTAACTTGTAAGGCAAGCTTAATACAATCTTCTTACTTGAATATACCTCCATTTGTTATTATGTTTCGAACAAAGCTGAACTTAGAAATATCAATACATAAATGAATAACGGAGTAAAAATAAATTCATCATATTATAATAGTCCGTTTTCCTTATTTCGATATTTCGCTTGCGTTTTCGCTCTGCCAGTACATTATAAATAATGGACTAGTCCGCTCTTTGATCCTGTGGAAAGAAGCGAAAAGACATTAGTTGGCTTCAGTGAGAAAATTAAAAAAATAAGAAGGCAAGATAGAAGTAGAGAGAGATTTAAATAATATATAAAAATCTCCATTTTTCAGAAAATATTTTTAGATTTTTTTTGCTTATAATATGGGTTTAGTGATACAAGTCTTACTAATTGACCCATAGCTGGGGGAGAAGAGGTGGAGTCATACCTTTTCCAATGATATCTGCGCGTCAGATAAACACTCTCGAACCATTATGTACTATACAACCCGCACCACCACCTGGTATTAACAGCTGGTTACCCATCTAAGAACTGACTAGGCTTGACGTTGTTTATCTTTGGTGATCGTACCGGTACCACACTAGTAGGATATAAAGCTAAACTTAATACCATAACAAAAAGGTCTCTATGTAATTATATGATTTACATGAAAACCAATGCCATTATCTTTGTTGTTGTTATTGCAAAATTTTATTTGTTGTGTCCTCCGGTCTTTTTCACGCATCTTTCGATCTATGTCATGTTCAAGAAAATTCGAGCTGAAACTTTATCTAATCTACGCCGTCCACCTCCAGGTATATTCCGTTCCTTTTTAGTACTGCACAGTTATTGCAAAGCCTATTTAGACTTATTTTTCGCACGTACTATCTGGCACAAGGATTGAAATAACAATTACTATACCACTAATTTTTTTGAAACAACGTTGTAATCCGTTATCCTCCTGAAGCTAGAGCATATATGGAAGAAAAAAGGGCGTTCACCAACCATGGAAAGGAGTAAAGATACTGGACAAAGAAGAATATTGAAGAATAAGACATCTGAAACAATCAGAGTATAAGTTGAAGAAGGACGGAGAATGGCCGAAACAATGTGTTAATAACAACAGAGATATCGATATTAGTTCGATTGTAAATAATGAAAAAATAAAGTATAATATATAAAGCTTAATACTATATATATATATATATATATATATAGGTATATTAATTTTTAGGTTAATACTGCACAGGTCATAATAATGGGGTGCCTAATGTAGATCGAATTCAAGTAAAAAGTTAGGGACCGTCTGTAAGAAAAATAGCTTATTGACGCAATTAAGTCCGCCAGAAATATTGGAAACAATATGCTTTACATTCGCGTCAGAAGCTCCAGTAATAATGTCTGTGTGTTCGAGTGTCACTCAGTGCAGAGGATTTGGAAAGAGTTCGATGAGTCTAATTGTGATTACGAAGATACAGCAACTCGGAAAACTCACTCTGATCGTTCTGATAAGAAAACTACCGAATTTGTTGGTGAGGGTCTCACACGCAACACAGAGGGCTGCATCAAGTGCCTTGAGGAGTTAGTGCTTCCCAGAGATAAGAGGGTGGTTGCTGGAAGATCTTATGTCTGGAAACAGGACTCTGCATCATGCCACTCAAGCAGGATGCCACCCAATTTCTGCACTCCCTTGATTATTATGTGTGGGGCGCAGTGAGAGACCATCAAAACTCCTTGTAACATCAAAGATGAACTGAAAGCAAGGGTTATGGCAGCATTTATCAACTTAAACAAACATACCGTCCAGAAGAGATGCGAGAAGTCCCGACGTCATTTGGAGGACGTGGTTGAAGGTAATGGCGATTCTATTGAATAAATTTACTCTTTAGTATTTCAAGATATTTTTGTGTGATTTTGGTAAATATAACTGTTTAAGTGAGATATCAGTGTCATTTTCATTTTTGTGTAATTTAAACGACAATTTATCCATCCCACCCTGTATATAAGAAATAATTGCTGTGGTATACTTAACTTGTCGGATGTAAAACAAAATATGAATTTTTGAAGCGATGAATTGAATCATTTACTTTTTAATGATTTGCTTTCTTGTCAATGCACTTAGCCTTAACGTTTCTTAATTAATCTCATATATTGATCAGCAAAAAGATTTCGCACATTAGAACAAGATGATGTATCATTAGACATGGACAACAGTACAAGAACAATCTACCCACAATAGATTGAATAAAGAATTTAGTTTGAAATTTCTTGACAGGCACCTGACAAAGGCCGGTCGAAGCGCTGTAATAATAGCAACAAAGATAAGGACAATAGTCCGACTGTATATGATGTAACTGATGATAACTCCTGATCCCAGAAATTTAGATAAAAATAGTCTTTGATTAACTTATTAAAGGCTATGATACGACAAGATTATTTTGTGTATACATACATTTGACTTTATGTGTGACTTATGGTTCAGAAACAGTTTTCATATTTTATTTCCCTTCATATTTCTTAAAGTGGCCGCTCAAGATGAAGATTGATAAGCCAATATTATATACAATAGAGAAATTGCATCATTGAAATTTTAATAAGGAATCTTTTACGCGTTCCGTTAAGAAAAGAATCGATATTGCATGGGCATTTGAATTAATCGGATGCAGAAATTCCATTTTGTCTTTTCAGTTGTCATTTTTATTGAAATGGATAAAAGGCAAGCTCTTTATGAACGAAATATCAAAAGACCAATTTGAAGATTAAAAAAGAAAATTTATCTGAATTTTAATTAGCGCATTTAGAAGATGAAACATATGTTTACGTATATTTGCAACTCATTGTAAGAAATTGCCTTTAAAAAAAATTCGCATTTTAGCGAATGAAATGTAGATCGACTAAAATATTGTTTCAAGTAACTTAACTTTAAAATATTCATCTATATTAATAAAGTCTATTTGACTTTCTCCCTCCCTCTCTCTCTCTCTCTCTCTCTATATATATATATATATATATATATATATATATATGGGAGAGAGAATGAATTTTCATCGCATATATATTGTTTCAAATAACTTTAAAAACTTCATTTTAATTAACTCTCTTTCCTTCCCTTTACTTTATATCTTTCTATAGAGATAGATATTTCTTTTTTATATATATATATATATATATATATATATATATATATATATGTTGAATTGAATTTATTTTGAATTCAAGACTTAAGCCCCTCTTCTATTAACTCTCTTTCGTATATCTTTTTTCTAAAAATATTCTTGCATGAGATATTGAAGGATGGAAATCCTTAATGTCGTGTATATATATATATATATATATATATATATATATATATATATATATATATAAAAGTTTTTCCGGTTAAAGTAGATTTAAAATACGATATTAAGGATTTCTATCCCTCAATATCTAAACAAGGGCTTCTTGAAACATTGCTAAAGATTTTGTCGAAATAACACCCAAGCAAGTAGAAATAATTCTACACTGTCGAAAATCAGTACTGTTTCACAATGCTGAATCTTGACTATAAAATTGACAAAAGTGCCTTTGATATCACCCAACATTTGTGTGATGGAGCTGAAGTTTCTGTAT